TTACAAAATAACTAAAAATATAGTGTTATATTTTTTAAAAAAATCAGTGTAACCTCTCTTCTCCTGCACCCTGTGTACAATGTTCATCAAGTAATTTAACAACTTCATTGACATGTCCCTTATGTATAACATGATGGCTGGACTCTAATGTCCATTGATGATATGCTGTGCTCAAAACTATAGTGATGCCATGGTTGGCTTTTTCCTTAGATTACTTTGTCTAAATGGTTGTACACAGTTGTACTTTTGTAATTATTCTTTCCTGTTTTTTGTGACTCTTCTTCCTCTTTCCTTTGTTATCAGCTCATTTCAATATATTCTTCTAATCTACTGTCTTACGTTGTATTTATTTCTGAATCAGTCTTTAACATGCATAGTTTCTAGAGAAATGTCTTTTTTTACACTGAAAGTTTCAATAGCATCCTTGAGTACAGAGCCTTGAGTTTCTGAACACCTTATTCTCACTAAGTTTTCTTAATTAATAACACTGGAATTGCTTGCAATTCTGATTAGGTATTTGTTGGACACTATTTTTTGTTTGTTAGTGGTGGTTGGGAGTTGCAAAAGGGATGGAGTATGCTGAGTTGCTGAATAACGTTGGAAATCTTGTCTAGAAAGGAATTCGTTTTTATTATTATTTCCTAATAAAGAGTGTAGAGTTTTTATATTGAGATGCTTATGTTGAATGAAAGTATAGTTTATTTCTATTTATTCAGAAATTTATCATCTATTAACACTTATTTTTAGTACCTACAGCATGAGTTTTTTCACTTTTAGGTAAAATCATTTTCTGTTTTTACCTTTCATAGTATTGTGGTTCATGCTTAAAAAAAGCCTTGCATTCCCCTCTAACACATAGATTACTTAAGAAAATGCTCAGTTGTCCTCCATAACTCAGTTTATTTTATTTTCCTATGTTCATTTGCTTGATTCATTTGGCCTATTATCTGATAATTCTATTTTTAAAATAAAATCATAGAGCGATATCGCCTCAATTTTTTTGATAGAGACAACAAAACAGAATTTTCATCTTTAAAATGTCACGACCTCACTAGTTCTTTAATGAGCCCTTTGTGGTCATTCTATTATTTTAAAGTTATTTTATTTTAGAGAAACAGTTATTTATTTTCTGTCATCTTCATTAATGGTGTGTCTATAGGAATTCCTCTGAGTTATCAAGGATTTAATTCAAGCCTTTTGAACTTTGAATGATTAACTACTTTCTATAGAATCAACACCTTGTCAAGATCTGTGATTATACTTACTTACAAATTAGCCTTTTGCCATTATGAATGCTGACAGAAGACATGAGACTCCTTGATGAGAGATTTTGTTGTTTATGGCACAGCAAACAGCATAAGCATCATGTTGGCATTGGTTCTCTATGTCCAAGTCCCATAGGGGCGGTATGAAAAGGCCCCGTTGGATCCTGTGCACATAGTGGGTTTATATTATAGCTGAAGAATGCTGAACTTGAAGAATTCACTGCATTTTATAGTAAATGAAAGCAAGCCTACTCTTTGTCTATAGGGGGGAGATATTGCCTCATCCTTCAAGATTACTCCTGAGAAATAGCCTGGTTAAAGAATAATCAGGGCCTTGCATTCTTAGCATATACAGCAATAACATGCAGGGACGATTAGGGCCTCTAACAAACATACCCTTAGTTTTATTACAATAACTTGAATAGAAAGTAACACTACATGTAATCCTAGCACTCGGAGAGCCTAAGGTGGGAGGATGCTTGAGGTCAGGAGTTCAAGACCAGGTGAGCAAGAGTGAAACCCCCGTCTCTACTAAAAATAGAAAAGAAGTTAGCTGGGCATGGTGGTGTGCACCTGTAGTCCCCACTACTCAGGAGGCTGAGTCAGGGGGATCGCTTGAGCCCAGGAGTTTGAGGTCGCAGTGAGTTACAATGATGCCACTGCACTCTACCCAGGGTGACAGTGTGAGACTCTGTCTCAAAAAAGAAAAAAGAAAATAACACTGCAGTAAAAATTGATTAATCGAAAGCTATCTGCATATATGGGTTTTATTGATCTTATTAGAAGAGTACTATTTCTTTTCCCTTAAGGAATGTTTTAAAAAAAAACCCACCTACTCCTAAAAAATAATTTGGGACATCTTTCAGTAAATGTATAGGCAAATAAGCAAAAACAATGAACTAAAATGTCGAAAGATAGGATCTAGAAAATAAAAAGGTCTTAGCTAAAGAAAGCTGCAGATATTGAACAAAAAACTCAACTAGCTATTAATAGCTGCTAAGAATAAAAGGAAAACATAAAGGGTTACATGGCTCATATTACCCTGGTGCTAATAAGTATATCAGTTTCTCAGAAAAAAAACAAACTTTTTTCTGGCCCTGAGCGACATGGGGACTATGCCATCAAAGCTTTTATATAAAAGGACAAATGATGCACAATATTCTATATGCCAGTTTCACAGGTATTCAAAAACTATTCCACGTATTGGTTCTGGGTAAAAGCTAAAAGAATAGTATTTAAGCATAGCTCCACAAATAAACTTTACAGAGTGAAGTTGTTTGAGATTTGTGGTCATTTGATCTAATACAAAGATAGAACTTTGAGAAATTTCAATGATAGTTAAGCTATGCCATAGACCAGTGGTTTTCAACTCATTTTGGAAGTAGAACCCTTCAAACAAAAGCTTACACAAATCCAGAATATATAAAACTGGTAAACTATTTAAAATTTCTCTGGTTAAAGCTAGACTATGTCTCCTTTTCTTTTAAAAATTAAAGGTACTGACTTACATATGTATGTTACTTTCAGACTTCTTACAGAAGTGTGCCAAATCATGGCATATTGAGGAAATTGCAAAGTGATTGGCAAGACATCAGTTTTTAGGGTATATGTCAGTTATGACATGATTAACTATTAGTAGAAAAGCATGGCAAATAAATACACCATCCCATACATAGGCAGTCCTGGGATGGGGTACTGTCATCACAGACCTGGACTCCTTCTAATTTACATTCTGTCTTCAGAAGTATGGGACTTTCATGCTCACATGTGTATCTCATGGCTGTAAGAGGGCTGATCTACCTACACCGCTTCCCTCCAGGAAGAAAGGAGGGGAGGGGAAGGCAAAAGTTGCATGGAAGCTTATTTTGACCCCTTTTACCACCTGCTTTGGGCTGCATTCCCAAGCAACCCAACTCCGGGAAGACTCGGGCCCGGGGCGCCAGGGGCCGCTACCGGCCTCACACCATCCATGGGCCCTCTTGAACTCTCTCTTCAATTTTGATGCCTTTTAAAGAGCTTTCCTAGAAGCCCCACCCAGAGAGTTTCACGTAAATTTCTTTCATCAGAACTGTGTGACTGGTAATCTCAGCTTCAGCATACGCCAGGTAAAATAGATTTTAGCTTAGCGTATTGAATTAAATAGGGATTCTATTAGTAAGGAAGAAGAAAGAATGTATTGTCAGTCTCTGCTGTGGCTAACAAAGAGGCACAGAAGGACAGAAAGGAGGTCAAGTTGAGGAATAGGCCAAGGTCAGATCATTTAGAACTTCATGTGTCATGTTTAGGAATTGAGGCAGTATAATGTAATGTATTAAAAGCAAAGACTTTGCAGGCAGAAGGCCCTGAAATTGAATCTCGGCTTGTCCACATATTAGCTGTGTGAATTTGGTTAAATTACCTTTTTCTGAAGTTCAGTTGCCTCATCTATAAAATAGGTATAACATACCTGCATTGCAACATTACAGGGATGAATAAGATAATGCCTGACATATAGTAGATGCCTAGTAAATTGTAACCATATTTTTATTCATAATGACAGACAATGCTGTTACTAATGTCATTATACATGGATCCTGATGGATATAAGCATACATTTCCGAAAATGTCTTCAACTTGTTGTAGTCCCAGTTTATTTTCCCACCAGCTGTGTATTAGAATTCCTGATGTTTATCATTCATCCTAATATTTGTCATTGTCAGACTTTTTGAGTTTTGTTGGTGAGTAACATGAAGTAGTGTTTTATTGAGGTACCTTTTTATAATTTTTAGCTTTTTGGATTTCTTCTTTTTTGAAATGCCTATTTAG